TCGAGAGCGAAAGTGATGAGCGATTATGGACAACGGACCGGTTTTGGGGAGAATAATGCGGATAAATTAACGGATATGTATGACCAAATTAATCATCAATTTCACTGATATCATATTCTTCACCTTCATCTCTAAAACTTCTTTCAGTCCTTATTCGATTCAATTTTCAAATGGATAACATCGACAAGACTTTATCTCCGTCATTCGTTCGTACTTAAATTCAATGCGAGATTGGTATTCGTTAGTAATTTTGATATCGATTCAAGGGTATCTCGTCCTCGTTCAGGATTCATTTCATGTTGATTTCATGAAATGATCACATCTACAGCATTACTTTGATTACTTACGACTGAATTGTTTTATTGCGATTTTTTCACGTCAATTACAGAGTAGCAAGATATGCGTGATGTCCCGAGCAAAAAAAGATGCGATGCCACTAAACTCTGTACCTCAGCACGATATCGTACGGACTCGCGATAACATCTTTGATAATATCAGTGATAGTTCCATTGAAAATAAACAAACCGTTTGCATTAATGATTTCAGACATAACTGATGAGCATAACTGTGATTGTTTTGTAGTTTGCATTTCTTCGTATTCCTTCGTTAAGACAGTACTACCAATCGATTCAAGTAAATAAATTCATTCGTTCATTCATCAGTCTCAATTTTCGTCCATTTTAATCAAAATAGGGCGAGGATTTTTATTCTCAATACAACATCGGATGTCGTTTGGGTGGGTCTTGAAATTGCCGGACGTTTTGTTCTAACTGTGATCAGTCCATAAAGATTACCTTCATTTTTGTTCATCGGAACGAAAATGATTTCTGCTCGGATTAACGACTGATCTGCTTGATGATCAAGAACTAACTGAGTGTTCCCAGTCGTTGTCAAAGTGTATTTCTCTTCAAACGTGTGAAATTTATCCGTTATCCCCGATAATCGTAACGTATGAGTTGGCTCATAACACTACCAATGAATTAGCTCAATTCACTGAGCAAAATGTTCCGGAATCATGAAGCTATTGAATTCAACTTTTCGAAGCTAACATTTGCCACCGTATCAAAACAACGCTTATTTCAGAATCATCAGATGTTATTCGGTGTTAGTATTTCATCAACTTTATTACTGTTCTGTTCTTGTTTAGTAGTACCAATATCAGCAACGGCTATCGAAGTCACTCCAGGTTAGATTTTCAATCGTTCGGCTTGATTATTGATAGATTCCTTGCGAATATCAATGAATTTTTTGTAATGTTCTTATCGAGTGGGAACTATTTGCTTTTTGCTACATGGTATGTTGTGTATACCAATGAGTTGAGGATTCCTAGCGTATGGCGACTACTTTTTGGGTGAGTTTTGACAGCCATTGCAAATGCGAATTTTTCGGAATTTTTCATAATCAGCGATAGCTGACTATGAATTGAAAGATTTAAGAAATTCCAAGTTCAAATGCTCAACGTCAAAAAATAAGTCAAAGTTGCCTAAGCAGTCAAAAAATTACAGTAAACTGTGATTGTCGTGATTGGTACGGCGGATGCAAGGCGGACGGTGAAGAATGGACTGATGAAGGAACGTGGAATTATGAATGCAACGGGAAGAAAGGGTGACCATTTCAATCTATTGGGTATTGAATTGATAACTGAGGAATATCAGTGTTCCAATCATGAGAAGTGCCCAGTTTTCAGAAAGGAAGCAACATTCGTGGGCTGCATAGCAAGCGATCGAGGAGGAAAACAACTAATAAAATCTGGAAGTAATGAAACAATCAATGGGTTCTGGTTCAGCTGTGACATTAATTCACAACGAATTAAATATGAACAAGGTGTGTGCTGGAATATCTGAGAACTTATTCAAATAATATAATGTTGTTGGTTTAGCACTAAAATGCCACCTAAAATATCAGTCAATGATCATTATATCTGCGATTCAACTTATCAACAAATGCATTTTAAGAGTCGCATTGTAATGTAAACTCAACAGACTATCATGTTGGTGATCTGTTCAGAGAGGGTGTTTTCCAATGGGTTTGTCTCGATTCAGGACGATGGGTCACAGGTTGTCATTAAATTCTTTCACTTCAGCATCATTCATGTTCAGATGAAACACTGGATGCGATGATTGATTTGATTTAAATATCTATTGATCATTATATCGATTTAAATATCCATTGATTGTTGATTTAAAAATATCTATTCACATGAGAATAGATATTTTAAAGACAATTATGGTTTAAAAGACAATTAAGCATAGGTTTACTTATGTCTTCACACCTTTGAATATTACAACTTCTTAATGTTTGCTGTGTCAGAAAGGTCCATTTGAACTAGTGCAATCAGGCATGAAATTATTTGTAAGCACGATTGAGAAAACTTTATATGGTCATAAGATCTCAGCAAGGTCTGATTGTTTAGACTCTACGGAAAAGATGATAAATTAAAGTAGAATTCATCGAAATCTTTTGAGGATGCTTTTATCGGAACGAAACTGGACATTGGTTACTGCTGAAAGTCGGTGAAATCGGCTACAATGGTTTGATAAAGCATGTTTGTGACCGATACACCGATTCACCGGGTATCGTGCAATATTATGCTGCTGTAAGTTTTTTATGATCATCCATACAACCGCAAATGGAGTAATATAACATTCGATTGGCCTTGAGCTAACATACAATATTGGCTATGTGGAACTCGTTTAATGCAGCAAGAGCTGTTATCTTATCAATATTGTCGAATTCGCCCCTCCGAATTAACAATTTGTACAAAAAACATCTTAATGGTTAATTCTTCGTTAATTTCACTCAGTATTCAAGAACGAGTAGATCATCGCATCAAAATGCAATTGTATTCAAAAAATTTGTACATCTTTTAGTGAGGAATTTACTCTTTTCCTTATCACTCGATATTCCATTAAATGTACTAACCAGTGTTCATAATTGTAGGTTCGTGATGACATTCCGCACAAAAGTCCTCCGAATAAAGGCAGAAATAAGAATCTCCCAGATCCGATCGATAATCGTCTCAAGAAAACGCCAATTCGTTGGTGGCACGCAAATGCAGCTCATTTCATCGAAAACGCAGATGATAGTTTCAGTTCAAAAATTCGATATTTACCCCAATCTCGTAAGCCATGGAGCACTGAGCCACCACCACCACATCATCGTAACTGAGTCATGAAGGCGCTGACTAACTATATTCAAGTATTTGTGCTGATTTCAGCGCATCAAAACGATCTCATATCAGTTGTGTGTATTGTCTCAAATTCTTTCTTTTGTAAATGATTCATTGAATATTGCTGAACATAAACAGTTTTGATTGCATCAAATATATCCGTATTGACGGCCACAACAAATACAGGCTTATCATCAAGTAGTAAGAGTGGTTTTTTCGCAAGGAACATCTCCGGAAGCTCGACGCTCTGTCATTTTGACGGAGTTTTTTTTTAGAGGTTCACAGCCGTTGAGAAAAGATACCGTATAATATTGGCGGATTCGTGGGCAGCAGTGATCGTAGTCATTGAGGGAACCATTTCTGGAATCCGAAAATTTTCCAAACATGAAAACATCAGACGTCTATCTTTGTATGCTGTGTGAAAATTTATTGCTAAATGTACTGAGCTATTTGCAGAAACGAGATTGCATCAGAATGGGATATACAGAAGCAACTAGATGCAACAACGTTGTGCCTATCGCTATTTATAACTTCGAAATAATTTAATTTAATTTTATTGTCCATCATTAGAGTAAGGCAAGTAATCGACTCTTGAACAGCTGGAAGTGACCATTTGACTGACCGCATAAACGATTTCATAGACAAACGCTCGTTATCGGTCACTCAAAATCATATTCGATCCAGCTTTTACCAAAAAGTTAATTCCAGATCAGTAGTGGTGGACATTATCGCGCTAATCCGCCAATCGCTAACTACCTGATTAGCGCGCTAACGTGCTAAGTTAGCGGAATTTTTTAGCGTTAGTGGAGTTATTTTCGTTTTTTTAGGAAACTGGCAAGCTAATTTTACGCCAAGGTTTGCGAATTAGTGGTTAACCGATCTAATTTTTCGCGATCATTAGCGAATTAGCGAAATTGGTCCGCTAATTCGCTAATTTTCGCGAAAAATGTGAATACAAAAATTTGCGCTGCAACAGTGCACTAAGTTCAAGCCTGCCGTACTCTACTCTCGAACGATTCGATGTTTCGTACTCCTCAACTATTATTTCATTTCCTTTCATAAATATATTGAAATTCATTCTGCATCAGAGAGTAACAAAACAAATTACTTTTGAGAAACTCTACGACTCTTTCGAGAGCTGAAATTTATTATAAGGATCCATGGTTCAGCGTGGATTATCGACACAAGAACGATGCTTTCAGACCAGATCATCGAGATATGTTTCCCTCGATCATGCGTATTTTGACCACACGATGCTCGATCATCCTTATAAAACTGAATTCAGTTGTAAGTAATGCACGAAACTGATATTGGCCCTGAGCCTAGCTCCATGCCAAAACCAAAACATTTCTCTCAGCATAATCGAATATTCGGGACTAAAAATCGAGCGCTATGATGACGATGTGATTCGGAGCCGTACCATCGATTTTATTCCCCAACGGATTCTTAAGTTCCTCTGAATTTCTTTGCTCTACATTCATCTAATTCATATTATTCCGTTCTCTTCTCACTTTTGGCAGTCCTTATGTCCCAAAGCAACAAAAGCAGGCCCAAAGGCCAGAGGCAAATTTGCCATCCACGCGTTGAGTAATGCCCACTGGGATGGGTCAGCAAACTTGTAGAATGTCACGACTGGAAATCGTGAAGTTGCTTTTGAGTATTTTGAAATGATATTGAAACTGTTAAAATAAATTAATAAGAAGAATAGTGATAGTTTTGACCGATGATCATTAGTGACTGATGTTTATGGACTGTTGTTGAATGATTCAATGAACATTTTCAATTGTGTAATGTCGCAATGACGTTTTTCCTTTGCAAATAAATGGTGCTACTGCAAATTTTAAGACAATGTTCCAAATTAGCGACAAATTAACGAGTTAGCGGATTAGCGTTAGCACTCCGCCAATTTTTTTGCGATGTTAGCGTCAGCGATTAGCGCGCTAACGTGCTCAGTTAGCAGAATTTCTTAACGTTAGCGGATTTATTTTCGTTTTTTAGCGGATTAGCGATTGCCGCGATAACTTTTTTCGTTAGCGTGCCCATCACCGTAGATCAGCAAAATTGATCATAAATCTCGCTATTCGCTATGTATTGCTAACGATTGGTTTCACTTGTTGCACTGTGCTACTTGATGTTGATATTCAACGAGAAATTTTTGAGATGGTTGCATTGCTTATGAATGTCCGCTAGCTTTTAAATCAGTTTTGAAACTTTCACATTTTGAAATCTTTTGCACTCTTCACAAACTGAACTTTATCAAACGAAGAATATCTCTTTAATTCAATGCGGTTCAACCAAAATTTTCAAATCTTTTCATTAGCCTAATAGAATAGTTTTGCTACAAATTTCTTAGCAGTGTAGCAGAAATAAGAATGGCTGTCGTGAATTCATATCGGTACTTCGAAAATCACTGTAGCCGTTTAAAGAGGCATGAAAACACAAAGGCGTACGCTTCAACAACATAATTATCACTTCTTGTCACTGCAATCCTTTTATTCATTCTTCATGCAATCATTCGTAGAGAGTAGGGTATCTGCCAATGCACATAATAAGCTTTAGTATCAGTACGACATGATATTCATGATCACAAGCGTGATTATGATAACGTAATAGACGGATAGCGCAAGGGTATTGCGAATACCGTAGCTAGAATGATATGGTGTACAATGAGAAATTGTGGCATTCGGAGGGAGAGTAGGACCCGAACTGGAGGTGACGGATGGAGTAGATGGCTTACCAGAGTGCACTTCGGATGAGGTTGCTGT